ATCTCGCTGCCAAAGTTCATATGCGCCATTATATATCATAGCGCAGTACCCGGGGAGAGGTACAGCACCCCGAGTCAAGGTCCGCCGAGCAGGAGGAGCAGCAGGAAATAGAGGAAGACGTTTAATTAGACGTTCTCTATACCTTTTCCGCGCTATCTTCAACATTCCGACCCTTTGCAAACCTCTATACATATCTTTCCGGGGATTACCTAACACGCTACTAACATTTCCCTAGTGCAAAAACACCTTAACCAGACGTACACACATACAAACATTAGATAGAGATGTTATAAAATGTATTTTCAGTGTCAGAGTAGTTAACAGGTGGAATGCATTAGGGGGTGATGTGGTGGAGGCTGACTCCATACACAGTTTCAAGTGTAGATATGATAGAGCCCAATAGGCTCAGGAACCTGTACACCTGTTGATTGACAGTTGAGAGGCGGGACCAAAGAGCCATAGCTCAACCCCCGCAAGCACAATTTGGTGAGTACGCACACAGTTGCTCATACACAATAGCCAAAATAATACAGCCACTATATTAAATCAACATTTATACAACACACGAAGCGTATACAACACATAATCCCGTATACAGAAGCATACTATATATCAAAATATACTACTAACAAGGACTATATTATACAGAAGTATACTATATATCAAAATATACTACTAACAATGACTATATTATACAGAAGTATACCATATATCTCAAGTATCTATAAAGCAAATATATAGAAAAGTATACCATACAACAAGCATACTTCAGAGTACACACAGGAAGTCCAATACACATTGCAAAGTAGAATGCTTACAGGAAGTATATATATATATATATATATATATATATATATATATATATATATATATATATATATATACTATATATGTATATATAAATATAATATACATTAGTATACTACCGTATACACAGGTATTCAATAGCAAGCAGGCCGCATACTCCAGCCAGGAGATATATCAGAGAGTTAAGTATTCAGGGGGGGCGGGGCGGTGCCGCCAGAGTTAGAAATGTCAGATAAAGTTATGTATTCCTACACTCAGATGCTGAATTATCCATGGGATGTGTTAGACCCACCTCCACACACCCTGGGATGTGTAGGGCCCATCTCCACACACCATGGGATGTGTAGGGCCCATCTCCACACACCATGGGATGTGTAGGGCCCATCTCCACACACCCTGGGATGTGTAGGGCCCATCTCCACACACCATGGGATGTGTAGGGCCCATCTTCACACACCCTGGGATGTGTAGGGCCCATCTCCACACACCCTGGGATGTGTAGGGCCCATCTTCACACACCCTGGGATGTGTAGGGCCCATCTCCACACACCCTGGGATGTGTAGGGCCCATCTCCACACACCCTGGGATGTGTAGGGCCCATCTCTACACACCCTGGGATGTGTAGGGCCCATCTCTACACACCCTGGGATGTGTAGGGCCCATCTCCACACACCCTGGGATGTGTAGGGCCCATCTCCACACACCCTGGGATGTGTTAGACCCACCTCCACACCCCATGGGATGTGTTAGACCCACCTCCACACACCCTGGGATGTGTTAGACCCACCTCCACACACACTGGGATGTGTTAGACCCACCTCCACACACACCATGGGATGTGTTAGACCCACCTCCACACCCCATGGGATATGTTAGACCCATCTCCACACACCCTGGGATGTGTTAGACCCACCTCCACACCCCATGGGATATGTTAGACCCACCTCCACACCCCATGGGATATGTTAGACCCACCTCCACACCCCATGGGATATGTTAGACCCACCTCCACACCCCATGGGATATGTTAGACCCACCTCCACACACCCCATGGGATATGTTAGACCCACCTCCACACACCCTGGGATGTGTTAGACCCACCTCCACACCCCATGGGATATGTTAGACCCACCTCCACACACCCTGGGATATGTTAGACCCACCTCCACACCCCATGGGATATGTTAGACCCACCTCCACACCCCATGGGATATGTTAGACCCACCTCCACACACCATGGGATATGTTAGACCCACCTCCACACACCATGGGATATGTTAGACCCACCTCCACACACCCAGGCTCGCCCCCACAGGTCCAAGTATCCCACAGGCTACATGTAGACTCAGCCAAAGACTCTACTCCTAGCCACAGACATCTCAGCGCAGCCATGTGTCTATAAGCCTCCAGACGGCGCAGCCATGTGTCTATAAGCCTCCAGACGGCGCAGCCATGTGTCTATAAGCCTCCAGACGGCGCAGCCATGTGTCTATAAGCCTCCAGACGGCGCAGCCATGTGTCTATAAGCCTCCAGACGGCGCAGCCATGTGTCTATAAGCCTCCAGACAGCGCAGCCATGTGTCTATAAGCCTCCAGACGGCGCAGCCATGTGTCTATAAGCCTCCAGACGGCGCAGCCATGTGTCTATAAGCCTCCAGACGGCGCAGCCTGTGAACAGTGCTGGATGGAACTATCAAAGAAGTGCTGTCTGTGAATCCAAAGTCTTAATACCTGTAATTAAGGTCAGTAAATATACAAAGTTAGAGCATAAGTGGTTGTGTGTTAAGTGTATTCAATCTGGCAAGATGGCGGAGAGGGTATGGCCGCCACCGCCCCGCAATTGATATCAAGACAGGCGGGGATGTCTAATAATCACATATACGCACGCAAACATGCACTCACGCACGCAAACATGCACTCACGCACGCAAACATGCACTCACGCACGCAAACATGCACTCACGCACGCAAACATGCACTCACGCACGCAAACATGCACGCACGCACGCAGATACAGAGCTAGTCCTCATTGTCCCGTAGTCAACATTAGGTAAACACACGCACGCACGCACGCACACACACACACACACACACACACACACACACACACACACACACACACACACACACACACACACACACACACACTCAATTACAGAACACAACAAGAACCTTTCGAATCACTAACAATCATTCTATCAAACTACTCCACACGACCTACATTCCCCAGAGCGCAGCCGGGAATTATACACATAATAATTTACACTTTGAAAACATTAGAGGAACTGATTCGAAACCTACACAGGGAATTAACTCCTTAAGAGACTAAAAAGAGGCACGGCAGGATGTGCAAATTAGCCCTACCTTGAGGTTACCCTGAGGTGCTTCCGGGGCTTAGCGTCCCCGCGGCCCGGTCGTCGACCAGGCCTCCTGGTTGCTGGACTGATCAAATGCAAGAATGATCAAGCCCAGATGAAAGGCAGAGATGCAACAGGTACGCTGAGAGAGAACTCTATCTTAGAGCCCACATTCTGATGTATACTCAGACCATTAACCAGGAGACCGGGCCGAGGGGATACTGTCTCCCGTAGCCAGTCGGCCTGCTAGAGTACGCAGCACCAGAATGGAATGCCAATTTTCTAAACGCCAATAACAAGTTAAGGATGTCTTAAGATAGACTTAAGCTACGAGAGCAGGCTAAGAAAAACTATATATCTTTAAATAGAGGTGAAGAGAATAGAGACATGCTCCTGACGTCTCAGATTCTAAGAGCAATAGACAATATGTTTTATATTGTTTCGAGAGAAGGATAGACAGGGCTCAGGAGAGGAGAAGAACTCCCAGAACCCTCTCCAGGTATATTCTCCAGGTATATTCTCCAGGTATGCTCTCCAGGTATACTCTCCAGGTATACTCTCCAGGTATGCTCTCCAGGTATGCTCTCCAGGTATACTCTCCAGGTATACTCTCCAGGTATACTCTCCAGGTATACTCTCCAGGTATACTCTCCAGGTATGCTCTCCAGGTATACTCTCCAGGTATACTCTCCAGGTATGCTCTCCAGGTATGCTCTCCAGGTATACTCTCCAGGTATACTCTCCAGGTATACTCTCCAGGACCTGGTTATATCAACTCAACCCACAAGCACAATAAGACACTCTCGCCTCGCCATAAATTGGACTGAGGTTCGAGTCCTGTCGAGGGCGGTGAGTAACTATAGATACCAATTCTTAACTATTCGTCTCTGATCACTCTACTTACACTCGGGGTTCCCGGGTTCTGATCCCAGGGGTGAGACAGAAACGATTGGGCACGTTTCTTTTCACCTCATACCTATGTTCACCAGAACAAGAATGGGTTGACCTCAGGCACTCACAACCATTGACCTCAGCCACTCAGATCTTCAGGTCTGACCTAACGGGTTACACAATGACCTGACTGGCAGATTGCTGTTGAGGGTAGTTACCAAACTTTGTGTCTCGGGGGTAATCAGCCTGTTGGTGGTAGCGTTCTGTTTGGTTTGCGTTAGACTTGTATCAGCTCAGACTTGGCCATCGAGTATATGGTGAGTGAATAATGATGTGAGAGAGAGAGAGAGAGAGAGAGAGAGAGAGAGAGAGAGAGAGAGAGAGAGAGAGAGAGAGAGAGAGAGAGAGAGAGAGAGAGAGAGAGAGAGAGAGAGAGAGAGAGAGAGAGAGAGAGCACCCACAGGTAAACCGGTAAACCTAAGTGACAGCGTGACAAAGGTTTACGGACAGGACTAGTAATCTACTAGGTTACTGGACCGTGTTGAAGGTTAGGTTAGGTTGTGTCCCACACTGAGTTGGGAGTGTGTGTGAGGTTGTGACTGACAGACAGCCAGCCAGCCAGCCAGCCAGCCAGCCAGCCAGCCAGCCAGCCAGCCAGCCAGCCAGCCAGCCAGCTTGCTTACCATCAGGCCGGGACCCACAATGGCCACGGGCCGGATTTCATGCTAAACTGACTTCTTCCCCGCCTCATTAAGCTAGGAAACTACGATCAATAAACACAGCAGAACCCAACCTCTCGGAGCAAGGCAGCTCCCGCCAATACCCGCACTTGAAGCTCCTCCTGCGCTCTGACAACAGCAAGGAAAACCACTGGAACAACACGAGCAGAAGTGAGCACCAGAAGATTAGAGTCTTACTGGATGAAGTGTAATTGGAACATGACAGTGTAGAACATGAGGAACTTGACAGTGTAGAACATGAGGAACTTGACAGTGTAGAACATGAGGAACATGGCAGTGTAGAACATGAGGAACTTGGCAGTGTAGAACATGAGGAACATGACAGTGTAGAACATGAGGAACTTGACAGTGTAGAACATGAGGAACATGGCAGTGTAGAACATGAGGAACTTGGCAGTGTAGAACATGAGGAACATGACAGTGTAGAATATGAGGAACATGACAGTGTGGAATATGAGGAACATGACAGTGTGGAATATGAGGAACATGACAGTGAAGAACATGAGGAACATGACAGTGTAGAACATGAGGAACATGACAGTGTAGAACATGAGGAACTTGACAGTGTAGAACATGAGGAACATGGCAGTGTAGAATATGAGGAACTTGACAGTGTAGAATATGAGGAACTTGACAGTGTAGAACATGAGGAACTTGACAGTGTAGAATATGAGGAACTTGACAGTGTAGAACATGAGGAACTTGACAGTGTAGAACATGAGGAACATGGCAGTGTAGAACATGAGGAACTTGACAGTGTAGAATATGAGGAACTTGACAGTGTAGAACATGAGGAACATGATAGTGTAGAATATGAGGAACTTGACAGTGAAGAACATGAGGAACTTGACAGTGAAGAACATGAGGAACATGACAGTGTAGAACATGAGGAACTTGACAGTGTAGAACATGAGGAACATGACAGTGTAGAACATGAGGAACACAACAGCGTAGAACATGACAGCTAAACATGACAGAGGAACAACACGGCTAACGTAGTCCCAATATACAAAAAGGGTGACAGACAAGAGGCACTGAACTACAGGCCAGTGTCCCTAACTTGTATACCATGCAAGGTGATGGAGAAGATTGTGAGAAAAAACCTGGTAACACATCTGGAGAGAAGGGACTTCGTGACAACCCATCAACATGGGTTCAGGGAGGGTAAATCATGCCTTACAGGCTTGATAGAATTCTACGACCAGGTGACACAGATTAAGCAAGAAAGAGAAAGCTGGGCAGACTGCATCTTCTTGGACTGTCGGAAAGCCTTTAACACAGTACCCCATAAGAGGCTGATGCATAAGCTGGAGGGAATGGCAGGAATAACTGGTAAGGTGCTCCAGTGGATAAGGGTATATTGCTTCCTAAGCAATAGGAAGCAGAGAGTTACAGCGAGGATTGAACTCTGACCTGGAGACGCTGAATAAAAGTAAATTAGGTCAATAAGAAGTATCGACATTACTCGACGGAGGTGCAAGCGCCAATGTGTGAGAACCACCGGAAGTGCTCCTCGACGTCTCACTAAAGAGTGCGTCGAACAACGCACTCACGACGTCTTGACAACGCACTCACGACGTCTTGACAACACACTCACGACGTCTTGACAACACACTCACGACGTCTTGACAACGCACTTCTATGAGCACTGATGCACACCAAAGTTTTTCCCTATGTCCATCATCGATCATAGAAAAGTATTTCTTTCTCTCTTGCTTTCTTTCCTTTTGAGAAGGATGGCGCGTCCATACTTCACCACATCTATCCGTAATACCACTATCTTCACTATCCTTCTCACAACGGGTCACTAGCCTCGCTATCCACCCCCCCCCCCCGCCCCCGACCATCTCTCTGGGTGTGTGTGCTTCACGATTTGAAGGGGGGGGGGAGGAGGAATTGGGGGAGGGGGGGAGAGACACACCCAAACTCAGAGGTGCAAATGACCTCCGCCTCCCTCCCCAAACACTTGGGCTGGACGGTAGAGCGACGGTCTTGCTTCATGCAGGTCGGCGTTCAATCCCCGGCCGTCCACAAGTGGTTGGGCCACCATTCCTTTCCCTAGTCCCATCCCAAATCCTTATCCTGGCCCCTTCCCAGTGCTATATAGTCGTAATGGCTTGGCGCTTTCCCCTGATAATTCCCTTTCCCTTTCCCTCCCCCCCCTACCTCTGTTCTACCCCCCCACCCCCCTCCCTCTGGTTCTTGAACCCACCTCCACCCATAACTTCAAGACCAGACCCAATAAAGAACCGAAACGTCAGCAAACTTCAATTCCGACACTGTCTCCATTCTTATAAAGACAGTGGGTACCCGAGGCCCAGCAAGCGGGGTGTGGGGAGCTAGAGCTCCCTGCTTGTAGTCACTCTCAGGTAAGCACTACACCAGCCACCACACCCAACAGGGGCGGCGTGACAGGCGTGCCAATACCACATATCCATAAGCGTGTCTACACACAAAAGCCCCGCTGTCTAATGTTTAAGAAACTGTGAACGTTGGTGCATTCGAGGCGAGAGGTTGAGAGTGGTGATAAAGTGAGACATTAGACCGTACCAATGTGGCTTGGTGGTGGAGTGAGTGGATGAGGAGGCCCTCAAGTGGATGCTAGTGTCCACTGGCATCCAAGTGGATGATAGTATCTACCATGCTAGCTAGCCCCAAGTGGATGCTTGGGGCTAGCATCCAAGTGGATGATAGTATCTACCATGCTAGTTAGCCCCAAGTAGATGCTAGTGTCCACTAGCATCCAAGTGGATGATAGCATCTACCAAGCTAGCTAGCCCCAAGTGGATGGTAGCATCTACCATGCTAGCTAGCCCCAAGTGGATGATAGTATCTACCAAGCTAGCTAGCCCCAAGTGGATGGTAGTATCTACCATGCTAGCTAGCCCCAAGTAGATGATAGTATCTACCATGCTAGCTAGCCCCAAGTAGATGCTAGTGTCCACTAGCATCCAAGTGGATGGTAGCATCTACCATGCTAGCTAGCCCCAAGTAGATGATAGTATCTACCATGCTAGCTAGCCCCAAGTAGATGATAGTATCTACCATGCTAGCTAGCCCCAAGTAGATGCTAGTGATGCTCCACCATCATCATCAGCCTTAATCTCCCACATATCCGGTTCGAATCCCAAAACGTGTAGCGAACTGACCTCAGGAGCCATCGTCCGGTGATTGATCTCACAAGAATGAACCACCAAGATGCTATAGTTACTGTCTAACAGGTGCCACCACCGTCTTAACTACCATTCTACCACCCCAGTACCACCTACCACAATCCTCTCAATCCACCACAACCTCAGACAATGTTTCAAAACACCGCTCAAAGCAACATTCAAAAAAACTCTCACCATAAGAACTATTCTAGGTCACTGCCCTTGACTTTCACCTTGAGCGGCCAAAAAACATTCTTACAAGAACCCAGGCACTTAAGGGACCGCTGGGCTGGAAGACTGCTAATATATAAATCCAGTTATCGCACATAAACCTGTTAAGAGGTCAGAGTTATTTTCAACTCTGACCTTTGATCTCGGTACAATATATGGTTTGACTTGAATAGCTGGTTTTGGCTCCGGTTCTTAAGTCTCGCTGGACTAAGCCATTCACAAGACGACCCAAGAATGCAGACTTCAAGAACATCCTTCAAGAATATTTCTTGTTGGTTACAGCGAGATATTAACCTTTTGGGGACTGGAGAAAATATAGCCACATTAACTTAACAATTCACAAATTAAAGGCTGAAAGTTAATTGAAGATTGTAAAGACTGAATATCGTGCGGGTACTGGAAGTGTAGAGGGCGGGTACTGGTAGTGTAGAGGGCGGGTACTGGTAGTGTAGAGGGCGGGTACTGGTAGTGTAGAGGGCGGGTACTGGTAGTGTAGAGGGCGGTACTGGTAGTGTACAGGGCGGGTACTGGGAGTGTAGAGGGCGGGTACTGGTAGTGTAGAGGGCGGGTACTGGTAGTGTAGAGGGCGGGTACTGGTAGTGTAGAGGGCGGGTACTGGCAGTGTAGAGGGCGGGTACTGGTAGTGTAGAGGGCGGGTACTGGGAGTGTAGAGGGCGGGTACTGGAAGTGTAGAGGGCGGGTACTGGTAGTGTAGAGGGCGGGTACTGGTAGTGTAGAGGGCGGGTACTGGTAGTGTAGAGGGCGGGTACTGGAAGCGTAGAGGGCGGGTACTGGAAGCGTAGAGGGCGGGTACTGGTAGTGTAGAGGGCGGGTACTGGTAGTGTAGAGGGCGGGTACTGGTAGTGTAGAGGGCGGGTACTGGTAGTGTAGAGGGCGGGTACTGGCAGTGTAGAGGGCGGGTACTGGTAGTGTAGAGGGCGGGTACTGGGAGTGTAGAGGGCGGGTACTGGAAGTGTAGAGGGCGGGTACTGGTAGTGTAGAGGGCGGGTACTGGGAGTGTAGAGGGCGGGTACTGGGAGTGTAGAGGGCGGGTACTGGTAGTGTAGAGGGCGGGTACTGGTAGTGTAGAGGGCGGGTACTGGTAGTGTAGAGGGTACTGGAAGTGTAGAGGGCGGGTACTGGCAGTGTAGAGGGCGGATACTGGCAGTGTAGAGGGCGGGTACTGGTAGTGTAGAGGGCGGGTACTGGCAGTGTAGAGGGCGGGTACTGGTAGTGTAGAGGGCGGGTACTGGTAGTGTAGAGGGCGGGTACTGGCAGCGTATACAGCGCGGGTACTGGCAGCACAGCGCGGGTACTGGCAGCGGAAGGTGCGGGTACTACAAGCAGAAGCCGCGTGGAAGTACTGGAATTTCAGGGGTCCATGCCCGCCACAGGTCACCACAACCTGCTTGACCGGCGTGCCAAAGACCCATGTTGACCACGCTAGACAAAGCCAAGCAAGTCAGCGAGCGAGCAAGCAAGCAAGCTTGAGGTGCAGGCAGCCTTCACGGCCCAACAAAAACACCCGCTTAATTCTGCTTTTCAATTACCATACTAACCGGCCCTCACTCTCCACCAGCCGGTGTGTGAAGATTACAGCGCCTGGCTAACAACCTGGCATGGTGATTAGGTAGTTAGTCTAACAGGCTGATGATCCGGTGTTCATGGAACAAGTGTAGAAGCCCACCCTTGCTTCTGTCCCCCTTTTTAAGGGGGTCAATATCACATTTTAGCGCCGGGATGGGTATGTCTATCACCCCCCTTAAGGTCCTCTGAAATCTTTGGGAAGGTGGGACCCAAGAGCCTAGCTCGACCCCTGACAGTACTTCTAGGTGAGGACAGTCAAAGCAGATGCCTGTGGCGTCACATGGGGTGCCACACATACGGTGCCACACATGGGGTGCCATACAGGAGCGCCATGATGGGCACTTTAACAGTGCCAAAGGATTGATAAGTTGCATCATAGTTAATTACCTACACACCCGGGACCAGGTAAGTAGAACAGATAAGACTTCCATCCCTCCTACTCTCTAATCTCTACCCTCCACCATTCATCCTCTCTATCCCTCGCTTCTCCTATCCCTTCCCTATAATCTCTGCTACCATCTCCTCATTCCTGCAACACATTCTCACTCTCCCCCCCTCCCCCCCATAACCCCTCCCCTGCCCTAAACCCCCTCCCCCATAACCCCTCCCCTGCCCTAAACCCCTCCCCCATAACCCCTCCCCTGCCCTAAACCCCCTCCCCTGCCCTAAACCCCTCCCCCATAACCCCTCCCCTGCCCTAAACCCCCTCCCCTGCCCTAAACCCCTCCCCCATAACCCCTCCCCTGCCCTAAACCCCCTCCCCTGCCCTAAACCCCTCCCCCATTACCCCTCCCCTGCCCTAAACCCCTCCCCCATTACCCCTCCCCTGCCCTAAACCCCTCCCCTGCCCTAAACCCCCTCCCCTGCCCTAAACCCCCTCCCCTGCCCTAAACTCCTCACCCTTACATCATAACTATGAACCCTTCTCCCACCATTACAAGCAGCGTTTGAAAACAGTCAATATTAGTTCAAAACATTATATACGTGGCACTAAGTTC